CCCCCCCCCCCCTTTTTTGTAAAAAAAAATCATTTTATATTTATTTTGAGTGCGTATAAATGTGTCTATAAATACCCATATTTTCACAAAAAATCCGAATAAATATATAAAATTTAAAATTTTCATATATAACTTAACTTTCCAAAAATCTTATAAAAATATGTAGATTAAAAAAATCAAATAAACTCAAAGCCCGTTAAATTTTAATTGAAAAATATCCGAATTTTGAATTTATTTGGAAAAATTTTCATAAGATTAGATATTTATATAAGATTTTTGAAAGGTTCATGAATTTATATAAACGTTTTATAATTCAAATGTTTAAATGAGATTTTTGTAAAAAATTAAATATTTATATATAATTTTTTATTTTGTCATAGATTTTCATGTTTTACTGATAAAATATTTACCAAATATTATAATAGTGCGAAGGCTACAGGTAGAGATAGTTCTACCCAGGTTGAAGATTGTCTGATTTTTTTTAAAATCATATAAAATTTCCAAAAATATTTCAAAATTGATCATTCCCGTTGTCTCGTATTGACTTTTTTTTTCCTCAGACCAATTTGTTCTCATTGTTCCATTAACTATTGCAAATTGAAAAAACAAAAAAAAGACTTTCTTTATACATCCACTGAAAATTGCACATACATAAAAAATACACACGTATATACATACATACATATATATAAAGATATATATCATTTACTTGAAGAAGCTGTCGGGTTTAGGGACCAATAGATTTGGTTGGATCTAACAATTACTGTCGGAAAATGTTTTAATTCAATTATTACAAAAGTATACGTCACGTCACTACACATTTCTAAACCCTCACACAAGTTTTTCCGTATTTTTTTTGTTAATCCTTTTTCCGTATTTTTTTTATTCTCAAACAAACCCATAATCATCGTAATTATATTTTTTTATAAGAATCGTAATTATAATTACTCACACACTCCCACAACTTTTATTTTAATTCACGTCTTAATCAAGTCCATAATCATATACCATGCAAAATAATCTCTTTTATTAACCATATTATATATATATATATAAGGGGGTTCGTATCTCTTGCCTCTAAAGCAAAGAACTTGGTGCCTCCTTCTCCGTTTCTTCTTCTTCTTCCCCATCATTCCAACGAGAAAGATCCAACCTTTTGCACTTTTCAATTTCAGAAAAGCCATTATAATACAAACTCCAACACACAAGAATCTGCGTCTCTCTCTCTCTCTCTCTCTCTCTCTCTAGATGAAGAACCAGAAGGAGCAAAACCCGTTTCCATCTCCATCATCATCATCACAAGCTCTGACAAAGCTTCTCAATGCACAGTACCACCATTTCATCAACCTCCTCTCTTGCTCACTCATCTTCTGTTGCGGCGTCATTGTCGGGATTCTCCTCCATTCCTCTCTCCAACACCTCTCTCTCTCTCCTCCTCTCTCCGGCCTCCAGCGCATCTCTCAGCACCACATGATGACCTCTCCTCCTCCTCCGCCGCCTCCGCCGTCCAGTCGCGGCGGCGGAGGACTGGAACACTTTTTTCGGCCGCCGGAAGATCTGATGCACGAGATGGAGGACGAAGAGCTTCTGTGGAGAGCTTCCATGATGGATCCAAAGATCAAGACTTACCCTTTCCATCGAACCCCCAAATTGGCATTCATGTTCTTGACGAAGGGCCCCTTGCCTCTGGCTCCTCTGTGGGAGAAGTTCTTCGAGGGGCATAACGGTCTTTTCACCGTCTACGTGCACTCGGATCCTTCCTACAATTGGTCAATGCCTCGAGGTTCTGTCTTCCATGGCCGACGAATCCCCAGTAAGGTCAGCCCCACGATTATATTATTATTTAATTTAAAGGATGGTATTTTATAAACTAATTATTTTATGTTATTTATATGAAATAAGTTCATCGATGCTTGAGAACGTAGCAATGCCGATCGAGGAGGATTCTTTTAATGTTTTGATTTTTTTTTCTTTTGTGAGTAAATAAATGTGGTTAAGAAAGTTTAGAGAGTTAAAAGTGGTTTAATTATTTGGATTTTGATCGTAAATTTAGAAAATTTAAATAAATTTTTTTTATAGATTTGAAATTGTTAAAAGTTAACAATTTGAATTTATAGAATATAAAAAATTGATATAATATTTAAATAAAATGACGTATGGAGAACAAATAGCATATAGAAAGACGTGATTTTCCTTGCGAGCTAAGACTTTGTATATTTAATTAACTTTTCGATATTTCGACCATTTAATGAATTGAACTTGCCAAAGGGAACGGTTTTTTGGACCGTCGATGGGAGATTTTTTGGGTTATAGGTTAATTTCATACGATTGTATTTAAATATTTTAAAATTTTTAAAACCTCGTTCACCAATAAACATTTCAAAAAAAAAATATTGATATTACCGAGCAAAACGAATTTAATTATATTTTATATTCTACTAAAAAAATACTACTATTAATTAATATGAAAAAGCTATAACCACCATTTCTCTGAACTTTCGCATGGGGTTTAACTATTGGCGCGACTTTCGTAATAGCATATTTATGACTTTGATTAGTAAGCTCTGAATTTTAAGAGTTCAACCTTTTTTTTTATTTTCTTAGTATTTTTAAATTACTTTATAAAAATCAATTCGACAATTAATTATAAACATATATTAATCGTATAATGGTATATGAGAATAAATCACGTAGGGTGGTCACCGTTTTGTATTACAATTGTCCAGCTACATATTCGTCGTAGTCATAATCTCAATTGATATTTTTTTTTGGTAAACTCTTGTTTTTGTGGTTCGATTCCAAATTTAATTCCTTTTTCGCTATATTATGAATGAAGTCCATATAATTCTTTCTAACAATAATAAATTTGTACCATCTCAAACTTATATTTTATTCAAATCCTTTCATATTAAAAAAATATATAGAAATTTTATATAATTCTAGAGATTACATGTTAACATTTATTATATAAACTCTATAATTATTTAACTTTTCATATAATTCTAAATATCGGGATCATCCTAAGTTAGACACAATTTTGATTAGACAACTTATGCTAAATAAAAACAATTTCTTTTAAATTTTTTATTACCAATTTCAATTTCATATCATATGATACAACTTATCCCTTTTTTTTCTTTTTTTTTTTGTTGCAGAAAGTCGAATGGGGAAACGTAAACATGGTAGAGGCAGAGAGAAGGTTATTAGCAAACGCGTTATTAGACATTTATAACGAACGGTTCATTCTCCTGTCCGAATCATGCGTCCCTCTCTTCAATTTCTCCACCGTTTATTCGTATCTCACCTCTTCCTCCCTCTCCCACGTCGAGTCCTACGACCTCCCCGGCTCGGTCGGTCGCGGCCGCTACAACCGCCGCATGGGCCCCACCCTCCCCCTCCGCCAC